AACTGCATTCGAGTGCGGATTGAGTGCATGGAAGTTTAGCGTTTTAGGGATTGACGCCAGGCCGAGTTAAAAAGGTGATCTTTGGTAACTATTTAGAGACCATCTCCTGTTACCGGTTTCAGTTATTACAAGCCAGATTTTTCCTTGAAAATAAAACCTTTGGAAGTGGCTGTAAGTAGAATTCTAGTTTTGTACACTTTACTCACTGTTTGAACAACGGTATCGGAGCTACAGAAGTACCGACAGTTTGTCAGGGAACTTAAAAATCTAATTAGCCTAAGTTACATAAGAAGAGCGAAGTATACTGGGTACAAATAGACTGTCCATAAAGAAAATCGGGGCTGGAGAGATGGCTTAGCACTCCCCAGGACCCAGGTAGGGTTCCCAGCACCCACTTTGAGCAGGTGGCTCATAGTTGTCTATATAGCTCCAGCTTCAGGAAAATCCAACACCTCTGGCCTCTGCTGTTCCCTGCACATGCCCACACAGGGACACGTATAGGTGATTTAAAATAATAAAGGTAAATATTTTAAAAAATACATAGGTGACTTTAATGAACTTGTAAATGTTCCATGGCTATTACAGTTCTTAACAGGATTAATATTTTTGGCAGCCAGAGACATACGTCTTTGTGGTCTCTTTTCTAGGATATACTCCACAAGTGCCACCTATTTTCCACCATAGAATGTCTTCTTGTCTCCTCTCTGGCTGCCAAAATATTGATACGCATCTATAAATAATTGTTACAGTGAACAATTACGACTGTTGACAAGTAACTTTCATTGAACGTCTATAGGAATTTCTTACCCCCTTTATGTGGATGATGGTGGTAGGAGTAAGACTGTAAATAGCAATCTGAGATTTGAATTCAGCAATTTCACTTTAAAACCGCCTTGCCCTTAGCCACTCTCCTCAGTAACTCTGTGAACCCCTGCATACCGTGGCTTGGTGTGAATAAAGAATCATGGACTTAGTATTCTGCTTCCAGGATTAAGCCGCTTCTTAAACAATAAAGCGATACCTGACACTGCATTGTTCCCTGTTGTTTTCCTGCAACCTGCCCAAAATCCTGATAAGCACCACGCATTCCCCCAAATTATCCTATTTCAAATGCATTTTTCATTTCCTGTAGGAGGAGAATAAAAATAAATGCCAAATTTATTCCGGCATAGTGGCACTCTAAACTTCAAAATACTACACTGCTTAAAAACAGATGGCAACATTTTCTGAGATGCAAGCGGGTCCAAGAGAGCCTTATGTAGTAGAATAAAGAGATAAAAGGATTAAAAAAAAGATAAAAAAGGACTTTTAAAAAATTGTTTAATTAAAAAGAAAGGGGTGGTGACTGGTATCGTGTCCCCTCCCCCCCCAGCATCTCCATAGATAGCAGTGCCGTTGGGAAAGGATGGAGGAAGCTAGTTCAGTTTTAGAAAGTGGTGTCCAAGTGGAATACTTAAGTACTTTATATTCTGACTGTGTGTGTCGGTAAAGAAAGAGTGTCCCAGAGTTTGCTGCCCTGCCTCCAGGTCCCTACCCTGCTCCCCCTCGGATCTTGCTAGCATTCTTGACAGAATTGAAGCAACTGATTGGTTTATTAATTTTTAAGGTAATATTTTTCTTTTATGTGGATGTACCATTTGCACGCCTGATGCCCACAGAGTTCACAAGAGAGTGTCAGATCCCCGGAACTGGAGTTACAGAACTGGAGTTCCGGTTAGTTGGGAACTCCCTGTTGGAGCTGAGAATCACACCCAGGTCCTCACAAGAGCAAAGGAGTGCTCTAAACCACTGGGCAATCTCCCTGGCCCCTGACTAGTGTTTGAGTTGATAGTCTTGAGTATCTGTAACAAACATCATCCAAGTGTTACACTTGGGGGTTATTTATGGGCGACTTCCTGAAATACTAGAGGTTTTAGTATGCTCTGGCTGGATACTTTGGTAAGATGACAGAAGTACTAATTTTAAAATGCTAAATATCCTGAAAACAGTTTCTTGCACCTGAGATTTCCCTTTCCGCATCTGATGGTGTGCTGCGTCTGTGTGTGATTCACGGGCTAGCACCTCTTCTCACGTGTGTGTTCCTCAATTCAGTGAGCGACGGACTGGAAGTAAGACCAAAATACAAAGGAATTCTGCACTGCTTGACTACCATTTGGAAAGTTGAAGGACTGCGAGGACTCTATCAAGGAGTAACCCCAAATGTATGGGGTGCGGGTTTATCCTGGGGACTCTACTTTTTCTTGTGAGTAGATCTGGAGGGGGGCTCTTACATTCAAAGGAATCTTTGCTTTAATGTTTCCTGCTTATTACCTTTGTTCACACGTGTGACTAATGAGTCATTTAACCCTGTTTATAATTGGAAGGGTTGGAAAGCAAAGTACTTGTTAGTGTTCCCTTTGCCAGCTGTTATCAGTGACAGTTAACCTGGGACAGAGTTGCTAATAGGACAAAGGTAACAAATGGAGGAGAAACATCCTCACAGAAACCGTTGCTTTGGGCCAGCGGTGGTGGCTAGTACCACAACTCAGGAGGCAGAGGCCGGTGGATCTCTGAGTTCGAGGTCTACAGAGCGAGTTCCAGGACAGCCATGCCTACACATAGAAACCCAGCTTTGAAAAAACCAAAAGAATAAAAATAAAAAATGTTGCTCTGAAATGTATTCAGGAAAGTTGAAGTGCTCTTGCTGGGCTGGTCACTGGGCAACAGGATATTTTGATACATTTAGAGCCCTTTGTTTTGGTGGAAGCCATTGGAAAAACCTGCTGATTCTGAAACTTACAGTGGCACTGTGCAATCTCTTCAGGAATTCTGGGGTGCTGTGAGCGTATTAGGACTCTGGTACACTTTTTTTTTAATGCCCAAAATAGACCAGAAAGAGGTGAATAAACCAGTTATTTATTAGTGGTTTTGTTCAAGGTCATCCCTAACTCACAGTGAGTTTGAGGCCAGCCTGGGTGCACATTGACACATAATAAAACTTTTTATTAACAGAACAAGTAACAAAAAAACGGGCCTGGTTTATCTTTCCTGCTCAGAATCATGCAGTGGCTGTTTCCTGCCAGACGACCTAAATCTCAAACTTCCACTCCACGGTTTCTTTTTCCCTATCATGGCATCACTTGTTATCACTTTCCCCCATGTGTATCTCTTTCCGTAGTGAAACCCTGCCTGTCTCAATGTCCAGGTCAAAGCCACTTCTACACGAGGACTTCTGGAGTCCCTTTCGGTCGGTTTCTGAGTGCCTTAGCCAGTGTGGTTGACACTCCCTTGTCAAGGCTGTCAGTGTGCCAGCATCCTTGTTAGTCTGTTAAAGGAGCCAGTGAGGCCAGGCAGTGGTGGCCCACGCCTTTAATCCCAGGACTCTCGAGGCAGAGACAGGCGGCCGTTGACTTTCTTTGGAGATGATGCTTTAAAATGGACATTTGCTTTATGACTCGTGTTCAAAATTAAACTGCTTGTGTTTAATGTTTCTAGTTACAATGCCATCAAGTCGTATAAGACAGAGGGAAGAGCTGAACAACTAGAGCCGCTAGAATACCTCGTCTCAGCCGCTGAAGCTGGTAAGGCAAGGGATAGCATCACCTTCCAAACTTAGTTCCTTGGGCGGGGCCGGGAGTGGGGCACTTGAGTGTATTGA